GTCCCTGGGCCCCTGTCCCTCTGCCCCCAGCTGCTGTGGGGCAGGAGATTGGGTGACCCTGATCTGCAGCCAGTGGGAACTGCACAACCCCAGCACAGTTTATTGTATTAGGGGGATGCTTTCCTCTAATCAGCTTAGCGGGAGGCTGTCCCCTGACCTCATTCCCACTTTAGCCAGGCTTTGTGCTTGTTCTGCGCTCATGGGGGGATTGGCAGGGCAGCTTGCCTTGGCCAAATCTCTCCTGCTGAGACCTGGTGCCTCTGCTTGCCTTAGTGGGACAGGAGTGGCCCTTGTCAGCACAGGAGACCTGGCTGGTGGCTGGAGGGAGTCCTGTGTCCCTGGGGACACCTGTCTCCCCTCCTGAGAGAGGCCTACCTTGGATGTGACAGCTTTGGGGGGATCTCTCTGGGAGAAAAGGTGCCAGGGCTAGTGCAGGTCTGGGTTGGTGGGAGCAACAATAAGACACCAGCTCCAGCAGAGTCCTGGCACACCCCTGGGCTCAGTTCCTGCTCCTGGCTGAGTGCTCACACGGGACACTAGGTCTCATTCCCAGCATTGTCCCCATGCTGCAATGCAGAGCCCAGTGGCTGGTGCTGGCTCCTGCGTCCGAAGGCCAAGGAATGTGCATTGGCCCTTCGCCCACGGCTTGGCTACAGATCGTGGCTTCCTGCACTGTGCAGAAAGAAAGGGAGGTAGGGCTTACATTGTCTGCAATGTGTGTGGAAGCACTAGCAGCTCCTACCCAGCCTAGCACAAAGAGGCCTTTGCTCCTGGCAGGAACTCATCCCAGGGCTGAGGGCTGCTCCTAGCCCTGGTGAGATGCAGGGCAGCTCCTGTGCCCTGGTGAGATGTCCAGGAGAGGCTGATGTGGCATGCATGGGACACAGCCTGCCTTGGCCTCCCCCACTGCTCCTGCCCCTGCAGTCCACTGGCCACTGATCCACATCTCCCCAGGTGACACTCGTAAAAAGCATTTGCTGATCAGAATGGGACACTTGGGCAGGTTACTCTGCTGCCCCAGCAACGGCTTTTTCTGCTGGGTGTCAGGGGCAACTGCTGTGCATTCTATGCAGCAGAGGATGCCCAGGAGCAGCAGAGAGTCCTAAGGGAAGCAAACTTACTCCCACCAAGCAGGAGACTCCTGTGGGTTAAAGTGTGCTGTCTGCATGGCTGTCCACACCTTCTCTGAGGTGTTCAGTATCCAAACCCTGAGATTCCAGTCTTTGCCTGCAGGTGCTGTGCCTGCGGCAGTACTGATTGAGTGTCTGGTCTGAGTACACCCTCCCCTGAACAGCTGTGAACCACAGCCAGGAAACTGGCAACCTCTCCTCAACCTCTCTTGAGCACACAAACTCAGTTGGGTGGTGTCAGGACTAGCTAGGTGATGTCAGGATGAAGGTCCCAAGTGCTTGGAGCTGTGCTCACCGCAGTGACCACATAGCTGGCAAGGGAGGCTGCCAGTCCCTGAGCACAGGCTGTGTCTGTGGCACTGTGCTCCCACCATGTGCGCAGAGTGTCCAGGGGTCCTCTGTCACAAGCAGGAAGGTGATGCTGCACTTGGCCTTTCTTGGGCTGCCATGGCCTCTTGGTTTTGCTGGTTTTAAAATTATGCCACTTTCAGCACCATATGTTGTTTCCAGTGCCACGGCACCAAGCAATCTCTTTTCCATAGGTCTTTTCCAACCTAAGCAATTCCGTGATTCTGTGGTAGGGTGGGCTCCTCCCCAGATGCAGAGTCTAGAAGTGCCTCCAGTGGAAAGTGGAGGTCTGACAGGAGCACAACTTGGTGCTGCTGCCCGTGCTGTACTGCAGTCACCTCGGCACTGCTGTCCTGACCACGACCTCGGGGCACACTGCCCACAGCGCTGTCCTGTCTGCCCTTGTGCGAGCAGGTGCCTCACGCGGGAGCAGACTTGCAGGTATTATTAGCCTGTCTACTGACTGGGCAGTCTCTCAGGAAGCGACAGCCACCTGCATCTTCACAGCTAATCCAGCAGCCTCCGGTGTCCTTCCTGGCATCGCCGTGCCCAGGCAGCCCCGGCCACACGTGGCCCCAGGAGACTGTGGTGGCGTGGGGCAAGCGGCAGACCCTGGAGCTGGCAGGGTGCTGCAGGCAGTGGAGCATGAGGCTTGTTTACGTAGGGGGGAGGGGGCTTGGGCTCTGTGTGGAGACGCCCTAGCAGGGAGCCCCAGTGTGACCGCACAAACGCGGCGCTGCGTCTGTCGTAAGACCTGCCTGGCAGCAGGCACATGGTGCCCTAGTGTCCTCGAAGTGCCCATGCCCTCCCAGCATGGTCATTTGCACCGTGGTGCGTCAGGCAGGAGGCTGTGGAGTGTTGCTCAGACCCCTAAGGGCTGCTGCCAGTGTCTTTCATTTGTTAACTTAAAGACTTGAGGGGCAAAATCCCTAGTTGAGACCTCTAGTCCTTGCAGAGCAGGGTGCTGTGCTCACCCCTAGAGCTCTGTCCAGGCTCTTTTCAAGTGTCAGCACCACCACAAAACCATTCCCATCTGAACAGAACCCCCCAGGAGGTTTATCTTAGAGCTTCTCATCCACACCCCCACCTCGATTTCATCTCCTCCTGACCTGATGTCTGTGGCTCTGCAGTTGTTCCAAAAGCCTGAAGATACACCCCCCTTGGGAGGTGAATAATCAATAGCATCCAGCCTTCGTCATTCTCTGAGCTGGCTCCATTTCTGTCCCCAGGTTTCCATGCCCAAGCAGCACACCGGAGCCCGGAGGGGCTGCCTGCCAGCCCTTCACACACACAGGGCTCCCAGTCTGCAATGCAGCGCCACGATACACCGTGCTGACTGCTGGCGTTTGGTGCAGGGATGGCAGCAGCCGCTGCTGTTCAGAGCAGCAATGTGCTGCCTCCTTCCCACCGCACTCCTTCCCTGTGCAGCCTCTGCTGTCATTGGGATGTGGAGGAAAACCCAGTCCTTTTGTCCCTGGCCTATCTCTGGGATGTACGAGGCCAAGCAGTTGGTGCCAGCATTGAGGTGGAAGGACTTGCTGGTGGTTGTCACATTGCTCTCCTCCTCTCTTGGCACTATTCCTACCCTGCCAAGTCCTTGTGAGGCAAAGGCAGCTCCTGTCTGGTGCCATGGCCCTCCACACTCCTTGGGGCTGGCGGCATAGGCACTGGGCAGGACTAGCCTCCGTCTCTCCCACTGCCTTATTGCCACAGCAAGCAATGGTGAAGCGGGGCCACGGGAATGTGGAGCACTTGGCACTCCAGGCCTTGTTGGGCTCCCCAGGGTAGCCCTTAGAAAAGAGCTAAGGAGGGGAATGACACGAGACCTTCTGGTCTGGAGTTTGAACCTTAGCACTGTGCTGCAGCGGTGACACTTATCTGGCTTAAGGGATCAGGCACCGGGTGTGCAAATAGGGCCAGGGCTCTTGCGGAGCCCGCGTTACCTCAAAAGCACCCCTAAGCCAGGCTGTGACCACCTGGCCCGGCTTGACTCTTTGTCTGCCTCCCAGAGGTCCTGATCACACACCTCAGGGCTCAGTGTCATCCAAAATCTGCCCACAGGCTCGGGCTGCCTGCTCAGTACCCGTGGGCCCCTCCAATTCTCGCTTTAAATCTGGTCCAGAGAACGAAGAGGGAGGACTTGCCAGCAAAGCCTTTCTTTTCAATAGAGGAGGTCCTGTCCTGAAGGCAGGCACGTGGGAGGGCTGGTACAGCCAGATGAGGTCGGGCCAGGAGCTGCCGCGAGTCCCTGGGGCCTGCTTTGACACCGGCTCCCACAGCAGAGCTCCCGGGTGTTCTGCCAGGAGGACAAAATGGACCCTTTGCTCCGTCCTGTTCCTACCAGGACACTGGCAAAGTCTCTCCTGGCCGAGCCGAGAGTACATCC